TAGCTTATTCTAGGGCTACGTCTAGACTGCATCCCCCTGTCGACAGAGGGATGCAAATCAAGCACATCGAAATTGCTAATGAAGGGATTTAAATCTCCCAGATCTGTCGAAAATAAAGCCTTTTTCCATAGATCCTGTATTCCTCAAAAAATGAGGTTTACAGGATCTGTCGAAAAAGGCTTTATTTTCAACAGATCCGCGTCCAGACTGCCGGGTTTTTTTCCCCCGAAAAAAAGCGGCGTCTATGTTTATGCTAATGAGGCATGGGATATTTAAATCCCTGCTTCATTAGCAATTTCGATGTGCCTAATCTACATCTCTCTGTCAACAGAGAGGTGTAGTCTACACACACTGCCTCCTTGAATGTGTGTTACTGTTACATTTGGTATTTCCAGCACTCTTTGGACCTTGCGCATTTTACAGCTCTTTGAGCAAAGCATTTCCCCTCCTCCCCTCACGCTGCTGGTATATTTGATGCTATTTAGAAGAAATTGCCGTTCCTTCCTTGTTTCATTCAAATTTAGGTTGCACTTTTACATCCAGCTGCTTATTAGAATCAGTGTCCAGAAGTGGTAATTCAGTCACTTTCCGTACTCATTTTTTTTAACGTTAATTGAATTACAGGACATGGGTTACTTAAGCAAAGAAAATGGCTGTAAGGACGCTTCACAAGGTTTGTTAAACCCAATTAAACATAATAAACATGTTGCAGTCATTACAAACATAAATGGCAAACGGGCTTCTATCCCCCTTGGAGGAGTAGGTCATTGTAGCCAAGAAGGTGAATGGCATATTAGGTTGCATTAAGAGGAGCGTTGCCAGCAGATCCAGAGATGTCATCATTCCCCTGTATTCGGCTCTGGTGAGGCCACATCTGGAGTATTGTGTCCAGTTCTGGGCCCCCCACTACAAAAAGGATGTGGACGCATTGGAGAGGGTCCAGCAGAGGGCAACCAAAATGATTAGGGGGCTGGAGCACATGACCTACGAGGAGAGGCTGAGGGACTTGGGTCTGTTTAGTCTGCAGAAGCGAAGAGTGAGGGGGGATTTGAGAGCAGCCTTCAATTTCCTGAAGGGAGGTTCCAGAGAGGATGGAGAGAGGCTGTTCTCACTAGTGACAGATGACAGAACAAGGAGCAATGGTCTCAAGTTGTGGTGGGAGAGGTCCAGGTTGGATATTAGGAAAAACTATTTCACTAGGAGGGTGGTGAAGCACTGGAATGGGTTACCTAGGGAAGTAGTAGAGCCTCCATCCCTAGAGGTGTTTAAGTCTCAGCTTGACAAAGCCCTGGCTGGGTTGATTTAGTTGGAACTGGTCCTGCCTAGAGCAGGGGGCTGGACTTGATGACCTTCTGATGTCTCTTCCAGTTCTATGAGTCTATGATTCTGTGATTGAGAGATACATGGTTGGGTCTTCCCCATGGCAGCTCTCTGGTTCTCCTTCACTGCTTACTTGTCATATGCATTGAAGGTTCATTCTACAGAGCTAAGAGCACTTGGAGCCGTAGAGTTTAACACCAGATTCTCTAATGTGATCCTCTGAACGTCACAGGCCACCGATGGCACCCAGGACCTGCAAGTTGAACCCAGCCACTGAAATTAGACCTGTGAGGGGCAACCTAGGCTAGGGAATGGGTCATATGAGTGACCCTCCTCCATCTCACTGGGCCGCAAGATTGCCATAACCGAGCTGGTGTCGTGGGATACCTAGAATTTGTGGACTGTGCCATTTGAAGCATAGCAGCACTTGGATTGGATGCAGAGGGAGCGCACGGTTCTCCCAGTGTTGGGTGCAATCAGCATGTGCTTCATTTCACATATCCTTGTTTTCAGTGCATGTCACTTTTATAATACCAGCAGGAAGAAGACCAGCGGAATCTGGCATCTCTTTGCATGGGCAACAGAGAACAAAATGTCTTGCGGGCCACACCCAGAACCCTGATGGGCCGCAGGCGGCTCAGCACTGAATTAGACCAATGTGTTACAGCCCACTCCACTAGCTTGAAAGAACTCATAGACTCTAAGGTCAGAAGGGACCATTATGATCATCTAGTCTGACCCCCTGCACAGTGCAGGCCACAGAATCTCACCCACCCCTCCTAGAATAATCCTCTCACCTAGATCTCAGATATTGAAGCCTTCAAATATTTTGAAGACCCCAAGATGCAGAGAATCCTCCAGCCGTGATCTGTACCCCATGGGGTCTTCAAACTGCAGGACGGTCCACATCATGCATGTGAAACAGATCACTAGTATTGTCCCCATTGTATGGATGGAAATCGAGGCTCAGAGAGTCTTGAGTGCATTGTTGAAGGTTACATAGGGAGTCATTGACCAGACTAGGAACAGAACCTTGCTTTCCTGGTCCCTGCTTCTGTGGCTTAACCCCGAGGCCAGACATCAGTCTTGAGTTCCACCTACGTCCAAGCAAGACACGTGAGCTACTAAGTGGTGTTTGTGTTAAAGGAACGGGCGGGGGGGGGGGGGGAGGGATATGAGAGCACCTCAGACGTAGGCAGAGCTGAAAGGGTTAATTATTGTTCATTTCTCTGCAGCTTTTTGATGCTAGTTGTGGGGGGGTGTCCGGTCAGGTGCACCATTAGCACAGTGAAGGGTGTAACACATGAGCCCATGGTACATAGGCTCATGCTAAGACACCATCCATGTCAGTGTTCCCTGGAGACTTTTCACCAGACACGGCGGTGCTGCCTTACTGTTGCTGTGCTGTCCTGTTGACCATTGCCACGGAGCGAGAGAGAATCCCACAGAGCTACCACTCGCACACTGCGGCTTCCGTCCCCATTGGCCACCTCCCCCTGCTCTCGGTGTGTCTAGACTACATCCCTCTTTCGACAGAGGGATGTGAATTAGGCACTTCAAAATTGCAAATGAAGCCGGGATTTCAATTTCCCGCGCTTCATTTGCATAATCGCATCATGGCGTGCTTTTGAAAAAGCGCCATTTCGAAAGTAAAACCACAGTCTAGATGCGGTTGTCTGGCCGGCCTCAGCTCCGTCCCTGCAATCCTCACCACAGGTCAGTGCGCATGGCTGCTTGGGGGACCAAGTGTGTGCCTGGGACTGGAGACCAGGAAAAGTGGCGAGGGGTAGCTCTACTTTTCCGTGAGATCCAGTGGAACGTCTCGGCTTTAATGGCTCAGTGAGATCGGAGCAGAACTGTACGTTTGCATGACGTGCAGGTGGCCTCAGTGTGAGTTGGTCTGCCTGGCTCTGCCAAGAAGTAAATGTGTGTCCTAGATGTTTCTGGAGAGAAGAGCTGGGGGAGAGGGGAGGAATAGAGGACGAAAATGCAGCAGGGGCGAATTAAGTGGTAATTTGGGGAGCTGGTTTCTCCCTGCCGATTGATGTAATGTATTGTTTCGTGATGCCAAGTATAGTCTGATCAGAGAACAAGCGTGGGGACATGGCTGAAATAATTCCCCATATGCCTTTTGCACGGCGGCCCCCAAGATGACATGCTAATGATTGATGCGCCAATTTACCCAGCTTCCCTGGTGCCTCGGGCCAGTGCTGTGCAGCCCTTCTTAAATTCTGATTTCTCAGTAATTGGCCTACAAAGCTAAATAGCAAAGCACAAGAGCAGCATGCTCCACACTAAACTCCGTCCTTTGTTCATTCGGGGGGGGTTTTGTGCTACATTCAGTGGTGGCTGTTGAGGGAAGCAAAGTTAACACAACATTTGTCAATTGGTCTACAGGTTGAACCTCTCTAGTTCCACGCTTTCTGGTCCGGCAATGTCCATGGTCTGACATGATTGTACTTGGACAGATGTCCACTTTTCATGGGTGTTGACAAGTTTCCCGTGGTCCTGTGAAGTTTGTTTACAGCCCCTAGTCTTAGCTCTTCGTGTTCTGTGCTGCTATTTAGCTTTAATTTACCCCAAATGCCTTCTAAGAGCCCAGTGAGCAGTGGAAGTGTTGGTTATGCTGCTAGACAATATTGACCTCCCGTGGTTTGGCAAATTCTCTGGTTTAGCACTGGTCTGGTCTGAAGGTGCTGGACTAGAGAGATTCCAGCTGTAGTAAAGATTTTCCACACTCTCTTTACTTATCATGGTGGTACTGTGTGTTAATTGTGTTACTGTGGTATCTCTTTGCTTAGTGCCGTTCCACCATACAGTAGAAACGGGCTGGGTCTCTAAAGAACATACAATCTGAAAAGAACAGGCTGGCAATAAGCGGGAGGTAGGGCAATGGTTTTCAACCTGCGGTCTGCGGGCTTCTGGGGTCTGCAGAGAAAGGGGTCTGCAACAGGTTGTCATTGCTGTAGCGCAATGGTTTTCAACCTGTGCTTCGCGGACTATGTCTAAGATTTCCAAAGGGGTCCACTTACTTTCAAATGTAAAAACGGTGAAAAAGGCAAGGTAATGCAGTTACCCTCATTTTACCATCTTACTACCTAATTCTTTACATCAGTAGGTTTCAGAGCACTTTACAAAGGAGATCACCAGCAAGTGAAGTAACTCTGCCAGGTCACCGGTAGAGTTGGGAGTAGAACCCCAGTTTCCGGCCTCTCACACCAGTGCTTTATCCACTAGGCTACTCTGAAGCAACAAGAAACTCAGTGACTTGCCTAAGAACACACAGGAAGCCTGTGACAGAACAGGGAGTTGGATCCCAGTCTCCCCATTTTTGGCTAGTGTCCAAACCACTGGACCACCCTTCCCTTCTAGTTAGGGATAGTTATGAATAGAAAGAAATCGAGACAGACAGCTGCAAAAAACAAGGAAAACGAAGAAAATAGCTGAAGGAGAACAGAGCGAGAACCCAGTGATATTATGCAGATTTGATGCCACCTGCTATGCTGTAGCATCTGTGCTGCATGCCACCAGTGGTCTGGCATATGGCTTCAACTCAAAGTAAACATTCTCCAGATCATTCCCAAAAGGATTCTGAAATGGAAAGGGGGCTGATGCTCACCTCCTAGATCTAGGTTTCTCTGGCACTGCAATTGACCCGTTTACCCTTCCATCTCTTTCAGAGCTTCCTTCATCAGAACACTTGAGCGTGGCAGATGCTACGTGGCTGGCTCTCAATGTTGTTTCAGGCGGAGGTAGCTTCTCCAGCTCCCAGCCCATCGGAGTGACCAAGATCGCCAAGTCCGTAATAGCACCACTGGCTGACCAAAACATCTCCGTGTTCATGCTGTCCACCTATCAGACGGACTTCATCCTGGTAAGACGCAGTAGGATGGCCGGGGCTACTTGGTCCCCAGCGGATGAGAATTTGCTGGAATAGGGGCAGCGAAGAGGTTTCAACTCTGCCTTTTTTTTAAAAAAATGTAGCAAGCATTAAATACTTGAAGTAATGCTGCACCGGGGTGTTGTTAATTGTTGGCAGTGGACACTTACAGCCCGATGCAAATGTCATTGAGGTTGACAAGAGACTTTTTGTTTAATCCAGGGTGGGTCAAATCAAACCCCCGATAGTTAGACAAAGGCTAGTGCACTCATTTAACACAACCATCTCCCTGTGATTTTGAGCCTATGTGGTGCATACCTCTTCTTATGGCTCAGCAGTGTAAAAGACCACTTGTCATCCGCTCTGTGGTCCAGTTCAGACAGTGCGGAAGTGGGAGCATTATCACATGCCCATTTCTGTCGCTGTCCTCAGATACGCGAGCGGGACCTGCCCTTCGTGATGCACACGTTGGCTGCGGAGTTCACCATCCTCAGGGTCGTGAATGGGGAGACGGTGGCTGCAGATGACTTCGGGATAACAAATGGGTTCGTCAAGCCAAAATTGGGTAAGGACCTGCCTGGGCCCTGCTCCTCAGTGCTTCTGCGGTGGAGTCAGTAGGCTCCAGAGTTAGTGCGGGGTGCAGGTCTTGGGGGTGCGTTTTCTGTATTCTTCAAGTTTTTTTGTGGACTGTTCCATGCTATAGAATCCTAGAACACTAGAACTAGAAGGGACCTCGAGAGGTCATCGAGTCCAGTCCCCTGCCCTCACGGCAGGACCCAGTACTGTCTAGACCACCCCTAATAGATGTCCGTCCAACCTGCTCTTAAATATCTCCAGAGATGGAGATTCCACAACCTTGCTAGGCAACTTATTCCAGTGTTTCACCACTCTGACAGTTAGGAAGTTTTTAGGAATATGCTATTCCAGGGTGTGAAACCCTTTTTTCAGTAGCTGAGGAAAAGTAAAATCTAAAAAGACATATTCCTGTATTCTGCAGACAGCAATATTGCCTATTTTCATGAGGACACTAGAGCTGAGTAGGAGAGAGACTGCTTCCCACTCCTTGTGGGTCCTTAGACAGTCATGCTACTTTGTTGCTAAACAAGGGAAGAAAATCTCATAGGAGAATAGTGCACAGCCGGACTTCCCTGGCCTGCTACCCTCTTGGCAGCTCAGTGCCTTCCTCAGGCAAGCTGTGTCCTTCCCTTCCTGAGAATGGTTCCTGATGTCCGTCCAAAGATTGGACATTAGGTGGTGGCACAGAGAAAAGCGACAGTATCTGGGGGGATGTGAACTTGATACCTACTTGGCTTTATACCTGTATGTGTCTCTTTCAGTTCAGAGGCCTGTTATCCACCCTCTTTCCAGTCCAAGTAATATGTTCTGTGTCACCAGCCTGGATCCAGATACCCTTCCAGCTGTAGCTACGCTGCTAATGGATGTCATGTTTTACTCCAATGGGTACGTTTATACCAGAGACACGGGCACACAGCTCCCTCTTAGGGTTGCCAGATGATTTAAAAAAAATACCGAAGCAAAAAAAAAAGAGCATGACCCCTTTAAGAAATGCATGGTGAGGCTTTTTGGCCCTAACAGGCTGCCATCTTGCTTCCCTGCGCCAGGTTGGACAGCTCCCCAGTAAGCACTAGGGTTGCCAGTTTGCCTTCGTATTGAGCCAGACAGCCTGGGATTTTCACCTCCTGGCCAGGAAATAATCAGAAAGTACCAGACATTTTAGGTGTTTGGTATTTTCTGAATTTTTTTACTGGAGAGGAGGCGAAAATACTGAACTGTCTGTTTCAATACCGGACATCCTGCAACCCTACTCCCTCTGCGCTAGCATGGCCTAAGTGTGTGGCTGTACAAATATGCACCATTTCCGTCAGGACGGGCGAGAATCCTGGTGCAATCTAAAATGAATCACGTGGGTTCCTCGCAGGCTGCAACAATCAGCTGAGGTTTTTCAAAGGCCCCTGGGAAATTAAGCTGCCCAATTCCCAGGCGTGGGTGCCCGCTTGCTATTGAGACGCCTTTACACATTTAAAGCAGCAGCACTAACTCAAGCCATCAGCTTGTTTGGGCATGCTGCGGGCTAATAGCACTGTGTTGCTACCACTCATTAACACCTCGCAAGTGAGGCTTGGATGGCATCGCATCCTGCTGCCAAAAAGTGGGTCAGTCCCAGGAAAAGTTAGACCTAAAAATAAAACCTTTCTTCTCAAAATGCACCTGATATAATTAGCACATTTTTGTGGCAGGAACAAGAGCGTGAGTCCGTGTAACATTTTTGCCAAGAGTGCGGGGGGAGAGACACGCACAAAACCAGAGACATCTCAGTCCCTCAGAGTCAGATGAAGGCACGAACTGCTCTGATTTCAGAGGCCGTGTCCTCTTTGCAAGGTTAGGCTTTGCAGTGCTGGCTGGCTGGCACTAATTCTGTTGCACTTTGTTTCTTCAGAGTGAAAGACTCAGCAGTGGGCAGTGAAGACTCTGGACACATTCGCTTTTTCTCCTTCTCTCTCATTGAGGGTTATATCTCCTTGGTGATGGATGTACAGACGCAGCAGAGGTGAGACCCGTGACTGACGTCTGCATAGGGTTTATCTGGAAAGACCACTCGTAAGATTTTCAGACACAACTGAGTCTTCTGACTCCAGTGTTCAAAAATTACATAGACACTTGGGAGCCTGAAAGCCACAGAAATACGCTGTTCCTTCCAAAGTCACTTTTAAAAATGGGACTTAGGCTCTTAAGTCTCTGGGATGCTTTGGAAAAATGTTACCCCCGTGTTCTCAGCTTGACCTCACGGAGGAGGTTCTAGATTTCCAAAGAATCAGAGCGGAAGGCAGGCTGCTTTGAATGACACTGCCTCTCAGCAGCACTTTCTCATGGTACTGCTCATGGTAATGCTCTGCATCTTGCCATTGCAGCAGCAGCTCATAATACATTTGCCCAGCAAGCTGACGGGAATAAAAAGTATTGTCCTGTGGGATTCGTATTCTGCTCCAACGTCCTGTCCCAAATGAGAGCACATGGCTCTTAAAGGGCAGAGGGGCTAACGTTGCACCCGACGTGGCCAGAAACAGTCTGGGGTGTTGACCATGGCCTACAAGACCATGTATGATTAGAGTCAGCTGGATTCTGCAAGGTGCTAGTTGCCTCCTTGAGATTCTTTTTTCGTATCCAGTGACTGGAACTTGTCTATGTCTGTGTGATGGGGCGTCTGCCCGGCACTGGCCCTTTCAGGGTAAAACCCAGCCCTGGGAGAGGGCTGAGAGCAAAGCTGTGGCAGGACTTAGACAGTAAGGGCCCAGTTGGGGCTGTATAAATAAGGGCTCCAGGAGGGAGGAAGACAGTCTTGCCCTAGCTAGGGAGCAGGAAGGACCTCGCTGCCAAGGAAGCATGGGGGCTTGCTGAGACAGGGCAGTGTTAGGGAGCTCTGGCCCTGACCTTACGCCCAGGCTGAGGCCCTGAGGCAAGCCTGCGAATACAAGGGCTGAAGTTAGAGCAGGGCTGAGAAGAGGCAGGCAGAGTTGGGGAAGCTCTGGCCAGGCTCTGACACAAGGCCTGAAAGCACTAAGGCTGCAGAGGGGAGGCAAAAGCTCAGCTCCACACCCCCTTGCCACTGAGTGGCCATTTCAGACCCTGAGGTAAGGGCTAGATGACTGGCAGTGGATCACTGAGGCAAGGTGGGCATAGGAGGTTGGGGGTTCCCAGAGGGGAAGGACTCCGGAGTAAAGGCCACTGTGGTAGGGCAGTACCCAGAGGTGGAGAACGTAGGTAACCGTGGGTGAGACCCTGGCCGAAAGGAGGCACTCCAGGGCCGGAGGAGCGAATTCCTGGGTGACCAGCGGAAGTGCCAATGTGGTGAGTGCTCACCCGGTTACAGCGTGGCAGATCCAGCTCGTAAAGGGTGAAAGGATAGCACGGGCGCCATCTTGTGATTCCGGGTCCAATTCCCTCCCCTGCCACAGAACCCTGGTGTGACCATGAGCAAGTCACTTCATCTCTCAGGCCCCCGTCTGTAAACTGGCTGTGACTGGCTTCCCTGCCTCGCTGGGCACTGTGAAGATAAACACTTTGAAGACTGTGAGGTGCCTCTGACACGGCTCATAGAACACGAGAACTGGAAGGGACCTAGAGAGGTCATTGAGTCCAGTCCCCTGCCCTCACGGCAGGGCCAAGCACCATCTAGACGATCCCTGATAGATGTCTGTCCAACCTCCTCTTTATCTCCAGCGATGGAGATTCCACAATCTCTCTAGGCAATTTATTCCAGTGTTTAACCACCCTGACAGTTAGGAAGTTTTCCCTAATGTGCAACCTAAGCCTCCCTTGCTGCAGTTTAAGCCCATTGCTCCGTGTCCTATTCTCTGAGGCCAAGGAGAACAATTTTTCTCCCTCTCTCTTGTAACACTCTTTTAGGTACTTGAAAACTGCTCTCATGTTCCCTCTCAGTCTTCTCCTTTCTAAACTAAACAAGCCCAATTCTTTCAGTCTTCCTCATAGCTCTTGTTCTGTCATGAGCAGGGCTCGACAAATTATAGAAAAGCCTACTCGCCAGACAAAAAAGGGACTTGCCACCCCCACCGCACAGGTGCGTGCCACCCAGAGAACGGGACAACCAGGACGGCTTCTGTGACGGGGCGGGGCCGCTCCACAGCGGCAAGGACGACCCGCCCCACACTTCAATAGTGCCGACCCCTGTACTGCACGGGGAGTGCGGCATTCTGACAGCAGTCTGCGCCGCTTGCTCCCGTGCGGCCGCCCAGCTGAGCGGCATGCAGGGGGGCCGAGTTCTGGGAAGGGAGCCGGAAGCGGGGGTGGGGCCGTGTGAGGGCTTAGGGCAGGGCCAGAGTGTGCGTGCATCCCTGACGTCAGGCGCCGGCACAAGAGAGTCCTGCATTCAAAAGGGGAGCAGAGGAGAGTGGAAGAGAGGAGGGAGGCGACGGAGGAGAGTAACGGAGGGAGAGGGGAGAACAGAGGAGTGAGCTAGAAGATGGTGGTGGGCGGAGGAGTGAAGGGTGAGAGCGGAGGAAGGGGACGGGAGTCGGAGGAGGTCAGAGAAGGCAGGAGGGAGACGGGGAGTGGAGCAGAGAGCAGAGCGTGGGGGCAGAGGACATGAAAGGAGAAGCAGAGGTAGGAAGCAGCCCAGAGCGGAGACTCTAAGGAGCCATAGGCGAGTGGGCGAGCGGATTTGTCGAGCCCTGCTCATGAGGGCCATCTGAATGCCTAAAATAGACACATTGGGAGTAGCTTCTCTTTGCATGTGGTTTCACACTAGGACACTTGAAATAAGTCCCTACATTTGAGTATGTGGGAAGCAGAATTTTTTTTCAGAAAGCCCAGTCTGTCCTCTCACATTTGCATGCATGGCTGTGCAGGTGTGTGTGTGCGTATCTCTCGTGCGCATACATACATATGTACGCAGCTTTTCAGATTCAGAAAAAGGGTTACATTGCTCCTGGAGCCTGCTTCATCTGTACCAATTGCCTTGTTTTGCCTCAACATTTTTTTTCTCCCACTGCTGTTCTTTTCAAGCTGGGTGGGGCTAAAGATAGCCCAGGCAACATTCCATTTAAAAAAAATAATTGTAACAGGTAAATAGCATTGTTCATTTTTTAGCATTTTTCATTAGATTTGTATCCACTTAAATTTTCGCAGTGCTACAAAATTATGGGATTTAAGCGATGGTTTTAAATTTTCACAGTTCAAAAATTGTCAGATGATTATTTAATGAGAGTAATAAGAACAAGAACATAAGAAAATATGTATTTAATGTTGAGATTTAAAAAGCTTTATAACAAAAATTGTCAGCGTCATGTATCAAAATAAACAAAGTAAATATCCTTCAATCAAACTCTAATAAGCAGCATTTTTCTTATTTTGCCTGTCTTCATTTTCTTTTATTATCAATGGAAATTGGTTTACATGAGTATGAATATGTAGAGCAAAATGGACATCTAGCTATATGCAAGTCTAATCCTTCCAAGCTCAGTTATAGACCTGGGGGGTTGTTTGAGTTACTACTACTTTTAATTGCCATCTTTCCTTTTTTTTTTTTTTTTTTCCCCCCCAGGTTTCCTAATAATTTGTTGTTTACAAGTGCATCTGGAGAACTCTGGAAGATGGTTCGGATCGGTGGGCAACCACTTGGCTTTGGTATGTATCCATAGATGTAGATGAAAAGGGGGGAAAACAGTTTTGCTTTGGCTGAGCCTATTGCAGAGTAGAGGAACACATTTTTTTAAAATATTTTAGTTCCAACTAAACCCAAAGATAAATATTCTGATTTTCAAACAGGCTGTGCATCTGGAATCTCCTCCTGCCCCAGATTAGAGTTAGTTGCTAAACTATGGAATTAGCTATGATTCTATAAAACTAAATGTAGCCCATGGATTTAGATTATTTTGGTCAAGAGGCAGAGCCCTGCAAATCCACAGACATCTGCTTTATATCCGCATGTATCCACATCCGTGGATGTCAGGGCGGATATCCGTAGCTCACTTTTGCGGATACCGATGCAGGTGAGGATACAGATTTTGTATGCATGCAGAGCTCTACCAAGAGGCTTTGATTTCAACGTGAAAGAGTCGAAGGCTAGCTTGACTCAAACCATCCGTGAGACCAGGACACAGATATTAGTCTGACTTACACCACTATAAATTCTGGGCAATTGTGCGGCTTCATTGGATTTAGGATGGGTTCTCACAAGTTATGAGAGCAGAATTTTGGCCCCAAATTCCCTGTTTGCTGATCCAACTTTAAAATCAACATGGCTTTTACAAAGTGTATCTGGCGGAGACCATGTGACGAAACTGCCCACGCTTTGCAGAAGTGACTTAATATTCTGGGTTAGTTGTCCAATTCACGAGCTCTTTAAGAGGCCCAATTTTCAGAAAATGTGGTGCCACCTGCCAACTATAAAACTATGGTTCTTTTAAAATGCCTCCGGTTGGGCACCCAGAGAGAGAGGCACCCAAGAGCATCAGTCACTTTTGAAAATTTTGGCCATTTGGTCGTGAATTTTTCGGCGCCTGTCCTGAAAGCTGAGAGAGATCCGTATTTACATGGCATTTTGAGTAGGCACAGTGGGTCCACAGCGCAGTTCAGCAGCAGCTAGTTAAAAATACACAAATGAAAGTTGAATGAAATAGCCACGGTAGCTCAGACTCTTAACCTAGGTTCCTACAGGAAACCCTGGGGATTCAGAGGCCGAGCTGTTGGAATTATGCAGCTATTCGGGGAATTATATAAACCTGTTGCATTATCTTGGGTATTTTGAGTTCCTTTTCTCACCTTTTAATCACCCCCAGTCTGTGGCACTGGAAGGACTGAGAAAGTGAGGCACTAAGCAACCAAAACGGGCCAAATTTGAGTGGCATTGCAACTTGGCACAGGTGGTCACGGTGCCATTCGCTCCTGTTTGGCCAGCCTCGGACCAACAGGGCAGAGGCTCCACCATCATGCCGGTGGCAAGTTTGGATTCTCAAAAGTTGAGCGGCATGGCCTCCCCCATCCCTGTCTTTTGGCCTGTGCCCCTGAGTCAAATGCTGGTGGGTTTCTTAGCTCCTTCAGCCTCATTACCAGAGGCTAGTTGGGCCTACAAGTGCTTTCTCCTGCTGGCTCTTGGGAACATTGGGAACATTATTTCTGTTCTTTCTCTTCCCCCTAGATGAGTGTGGAATTGTCGCTCAGATTTCTGAGCCTTTGGCCGCCTCCGACATCCCAGCCTATTACATCAGTACTTTTAAGTTTGACCACGCATTGGTAAGTATCTCAGTAGCTCAGGGGAGTGGGGAGGAGAGCAAATCCTGTTCCACACAAGAAGAATATCCTTGGCATTTCTCTTTGCAATGGCTTTTTTAAGTACCTTGGGCTCTGTTAGGGCTGTTTCCCGCTCTCTCTCTCTGAGGGTGTGTCTAGACTACAGGTTGTTGTTTTTTAAAAGTGGCCTTTTTTAGAAAAAACTTCTCTGCGTCTAGACTGCCGCCGCATTCTTTAGAAAGTAAATCGAAAGAACACGGCTGTTTTTTCGACCGCGGAAAACCTCGTTTTACGAGGAAGAACGCCTTTTTTCGAAAGTGCTATTTCGAAAAAAAGGTGCTATGGAATGCAAACTGTGCTTTTTCGAAAGAGAACATCCAGACTGCCTGGGTGCTCTCTTCGAAAAAGTGGTTTGCTTTTTCGAAAGTACCGGCTGTAGTCTAGACGCTCCTTTTTGAAAGAGGCTTGCAGTCTAGACGTAGCCAGAGAGCAGAAGGTGGGGGCTTCAAAACCTTGCCTCTACAGGCACTGGTTACAACCCCCTCAGCCCCCTCCCCGAATCATAATACACAGATTTTGGGGAATTGCTTCCCCCATCAAGTGTTTTTATCCCTAAAAAAACAGGTGAACACTTGAAATCACCCTCCAAAAGAGCTTGAAGAAAAAAGAGAAAAGAAGCTGCAGTCTCTGGTAGCTGACCCCTCAGTCAGAGGCCTGCAGGTACACACAGACAGACCTTCCAGGACAGGAGAATCAAATCACTGCCTTTAAAAAGTGATTTTTGTTACAAAACAAAAGCTAAACTTGAGAGAGCATGCTTGGTTGCTAGATTTTGCAGAGCAACTAAGGGAAACAAATCAAAACACAGAGAAAAGTCTCGGCACAATACTTAGATGGTAGTACATGGGGCGGGGAGGAATAGATTCACACAGAGCAGTTCAAACCAAACTACAAAGTAAAGAAAAATACTCTGAACCCAACTGGATTCACTTTTCCCTCTTACTTCTAATTTTTCTCTTTGCTCAGTTCTCTCCCATGCCCTGAATTCCGAGCGGGCATGGTTTGTTTTCCTGCCTGGGTTTAAATCATTCTGTCTTTCAACTCCAGGCTTCTCTCTCCCACACAAAGAAAGCAGGCGAAGAACCTATATCCAATTCAAATTTCAACCCTCGATCTTCATTGGATCTCCCGGCCCCCTGGCTGACACTTTTGCTAGCTTTCTGAGTTCACCCCTTAGTCGCCGGGTGCTGATCAGCACTCCGCCTGTCCTTTACAGGGCCAGTGTAGCCAAGTGCGGAGGGACCAGAAACCCCTCTAGTGTGTCTTGCTGTCGTGAGCATGCAGGGTTGCCAATCATCAGTAAATTTACAGACAGTCCGTAAAAAATTAGCCAAAATTGGACATGTCCGTAAAGTCCGTAAAAAAATGTAGGTTTCCGTAAATTTCGTAAAAGTGCAATACATTTTCAAAAAGCAGTCATTCTTCTATAGCAATTAAATTTCTTCTGTGCTGCTTCAGTCATTTTGCTGTGGAGCAGCAGAAATTGGACATTTTCGTTGTTTATTTAAGCTCACTTTTGAGCCATTGATGTCGTCTTAATACAGTATAAAAATTATGTCCATAAAATAAATACTGTCTGTAAATTTTTCCCATTTTGTCTGTAAATTAAATTCCTGTGGGTTGGCAACCTTGAGCACAATCCTCCTGACTGTCATCCACTGCTGAGTGACACTGAATTCATGTCTGTGTCAGAGGGGTGGGAATGCGTGGAGTGGTGGAAAGAAGGTGTCTCATCTCTAACCAGCTTTTACCCATACACCCTGCCGCACGCCTATGTTTAAAACTTGTCTACCAGGGCTGGCCAACAGGGCACAGCAGCTTGATGGCTGCCCATTGCTTGAGCCTGGCCTGGCGTCAGGCCTGTAGGGTAGTTTCTACCTATCTGTTGTGCTCACTCTTCTTCACTCAGTTCCCTCTCTACAGCCCAGGCGCTCCTTAGCGAGTGACACCAGGGCTCTGGTGGCATCCTTTGATTACCTGCCTCCTAAAAGCCCTGGTCTGACCCAGCATGCCAGGCAGGTAGATCTGCAGATCCTTGCAGCTGGGTTTCAGCTGCCGTTTGTCAAAGGCCACACAAGCGCAGTGAGGGTTCGGGCCAGAGGTTAGTCCCTGCAATGTGATAGGATGCTGCTGAGACTGCTCCTCTGCAGAGAAGGGGAGAGAAGCGCAGAAGATTTTGTCCTGCCTGTGCTGGCGTAGTACAGCCCTCTAGCTGGGATTGTCTTGGTCTTGCTTGTCTTATTGCTTAGTCCACTGTTGAGCAGGTCTCCTACCTGCAGAATCTTTTCCATCCCCACGCTAACTCCTTGCAAACGAATGGCCTTGCTCTTTAGCACATTGCTGTGGTGGCTATGAGGCTGTGTGACCTGGGTGCGGGCATGGGGTGAAGTGCCTAGTCATCCCTTTTGTTCTTGGAAAATTGTGTGTGTCCCCCCTACCTCCGAAACTCCCTCTGTAAATAACGACAGCAGACACCGTAGACCTCTGACTTCAGGAAGTATCACACCGGGAACAGAGTTTCAGGGGAAGTCTTAGGGCAGGTCTTCATTTACTAGGTCAGCACTGTGGCGATCAATCCCCCGGGAGTCATTTGAGTGGGTCTAGTCAAGACTTGCTTAATCAACTGCTGATTGCTCTCTTGTCAACTCTGGTACTCAACTGGAACGAGAAGCATGCGGGAAGTCGATGGGAGAGTTTCTCCTGTCAACCTCTCCCCCCTTCCACAGTGGAGACGCACAACAGCTTGACCTAAGGAACGTTGACTCTATCTACGCTATTCGGTCGACATTGCCTCATTGGGTGGAGCCATCTTCAGTCTTTGCCTGTTTTTGGAAGCAAATGTTTTTCAAGGCTTGGAACGCCTTTCGTTGTTCTGCTTTTCATTCCTCTTTGTGCTTCCAGGTTTCAGCGAGGTCTGGGGCCCTCATGCTTCCAGGGAGCCTGATTTCAGTGCAGTCCCGGCTCAGTTGCACCAGCCGCTGGGGAACTTTACCTAAGCAGCTGAACTTACAAATGCCTGTCTCAACTGAATTGGGACTCCATCGCTTGGGCCCCCCTCTTTGCAAATTATTATTACCCATGTGAGCAGCCACCTTCCAGTCAGTAAGTCCATTCCCTTGGGCTCCAATCCGGTGACGCATTGAAGCATGTTCTTTACCTTAAGCCTATGGGTAGGTAGTCCTGTGGAAGCCAGTGAACAGTTTTGCAGTTGTTCTGGCCTCATTCATATGGGGCCATTGAGGAGCAAGGATGTAGCCCTGACAAAACTGTGCAGTGACAAAAATCTCGACATGCCTCTTCAGCCATTGCAACGTTGCATGGTCTCACCGGTGTCTTTATCCCACCTGATGAAAACATGGGACTGTTACCACCTTACTACCTCCTCGTAAGGGCATGTGACGTTTGCCAGGATACGTCTAAACTACATGGCTCCGTTGACGGAGCCATGTAGATTTGTTTACTCGGCAAAGAGAAATGAAGCCGCCATTTAAATAATCATGACTTCATTTAAATCAAAATGGCCGCCGCGCTGTGCCGATCAGCTGATTGTCGGCACAGCGTGGCAGTCTAGACGGGGATCTGCCGACCCCAGAATCCTTCGTCAGCAGATCCTGTAAGCCTTGTTTCACAAGGCATAAAGGATCTGCCAACGAAGGGTTCTAGGGTCGGCAGATCCCCATCTAGACTGCCATGCTGTGCTGACAGTCAGCTGATCAGTCAGCGGCCATTTTGATTTAAAAGAAGCACGATTATTTAAATCGTGGCTTCATTTCCCTTTGCCGTGCTGACTAATCAACTTGGCTCCGGCGATGGAGCCATGTAATTTAGACACACCCCGAGTGCCTAAAGTCTGCAGTGTTCGGCCTTGATTCTGTTTAGGTTAAGGACACTGTGCTCCGTACGCTCAGTGTTATCCTAGATACCCTGGCCTCAGTGGGGACGATTGTACAGCTTTTATTTCCAGGTGTATTTTTGCAAATTCATGTGATAAATCTGCCACCTGTGGGGAGAGAGCCAGAAGTCCCATTTCTCTACTCCAGACTGTCCAGACCACGTGCCCTGCCAGATTTGAAAACCCATCTGCCTTTAGTTTCTGTTGGAAGCTGTGCAAACTGGGAGGGAAAATGCGGGATTGGATTTCTTAGACCAGCGGTTCCCAGCTGCGGGGCGGCAGCAGCTCTGGTGGCCAGGGCCGGGCTCTGCCACTCCCGTCGTGGCTGTTGGGAGAGGCGTGTCCTGCCCTGCCTCTCAGCCAGCCAGTGCCAAACAAGGGTGGGGCCTCTTCCCAGACGTGGAAGAGCGCTTTGCTGCACGGTGCGAGGGCCGCGTGGAGCCCTGCACAGCAGCCTTCAAGCCACTGCAATCAGGGCAGCAGTGCAAGGATGGGTGAGGCAGGAACTGGGGGCTCCAGTGGTGGGGCTAGTGCTGGGGGGGCTCTGAAGGTGGGGGGCTCTAAGAGGCAGGGTCCTGGCACGGGGGGGCTCAGAGGGCAAAGCAAATACGTGTGGGCTCTGGAGGCAGGGCTAGTACTAGGGAGCTCTAACGGGGGGGGGGGCTCTAAGAGGCAGGGTCCTGGCACGGGGGGGCTCAGAGGGCAAAGCAAATACGTGTGGGCTCTGGAGGCAGGGCTAGTACTAGGGAGCTCTAACGGGGGGGGGGGCTCTAAGAGGCAGGGTCCTGGCACGGGGGGGCTCAGAGGGCAAAGCAAATACGTGTGGGCTCTGGAGGCAGGGCTAGTACTAGGGAGCTCTAACGGGGGGGGGGGCTCTAAGAGGCAGGGTCCTGGCACGGGGGGGCTCAGAGGGCAAAGCAAATACGTGTGGGCTCTGGAGGCAGGGCTAGTACTAGGGAGCTCTAACGGGGGGGGGGGCTCTAAGAGGCAGGGTCCTGGCACGGGGGGGCTCAGAGGGCAAAGCAAATACGTGTGGGCTCTGGAGGCAGGG